AAATTAAGAGCTGCAGTGATATGCAGACCGTCACGGACGATTTCGACCTGTCAGAGGGGGAAATTGGCAAAAAAATTATCACAAGCGGGGCGAGGCCCCGGCTCTCACACGAGCGGTGATGCCAGGCAGAATTAAACTTTGTTCCTGAAGCTAGGTATTATGTAAGTACGCGTGACACAGCATAACTATAACTAGGCCCAAGCGGGGAGATTTGAAGTTATACTACCACAACATAAACCGGATATCCATCGATGGAGTTACCATATGAAACACAATAATCACTGTCATGTAATTAAAAGCATATCCAGAGCTTGAATATGTCTACCTAGGGATCCATAACCCGAACCAACGCCCGAGATAACGCCATGTCGCATGAACAATTCATTGCGACCTCATTTGCAACACCACCCGAGAGATATCATGCAGAGAACCCAACGTCATTCATGCTTCCAAAATGATATGCGCTAACTGCACCTCACCAGCCTCCACGATCCTTGCCGCAATGATATCACCGACCTTATCGACTAATTTGGAGCGGAGATCGTCAGTGACCGTATGGCCATTGGTCAAAAACGGTTGGCTACCACGCAGCGAGGCCAACACAGCCACGAGTGCATTCAGAACTCGCTCCGCAGCTGGCCGACGGGCAGCATCGTCCAAGCCATCGCTGAGAAGTTTGGTATATTCGTGCAGATTGGGAATGACGAGGACACGGATTACTTCGGAGCCGCCGACAGATTGCAGCCCAGTAACAGCACCATAGTGAGCAGCGAATGGCTTTGAAGGGTCGAGGAAAGTCTTGAGACAGGAGCGCACGAGCCGAGGCTTGAGCATGTGAGACGAATGGGAGTATTTTTTGGCAATGAGGCTGAGGAGAGAGGCGGCCATATCGCGCAGAGCGAACGACTCCATGAGATCCGCAGTTCCACCAAGCTGTCGACCGATGAGGCAGGTAAGAATGGATGGTACGAGGGATGCGATCTAATGCGGTTAGCGTCTGAATATGTTCTTCCAAGATGACAGGGTCTGCTCACGTAAGGGTCCACATAAAGTGATTGGTTCTGGACCAAGGCCTCAGCCATGTGCATCACCTGAGTAAGAACGAAAACGTTCTTAAGACTGTGTGTAACCTTCTCGGCAATGAATTGAACAAAGTATGGCACCAGCTGGTGCAGACCTGGGTCCTCGCGAAGGCTGGAATATCCGGAGGTGCGATAATCTTCGCTCGTTTCGTGCAAAAAGGCACTACAGACCTTTTCGAAGTAGAGCTGGAGTTCCCTTGAAAGCACATGCTTGACCAGTGGCTTGACAGCCACATCGCCTGTGCCACTAATTGCCGCCAGTGTGGAGTTGGCGTTCGGACCCTTTGAGACCAGTTCGAGGTTGCGAGAATCGGCAGCCGTTGGGTTCTGAGGGATCGACGGTTGCACACCTTCGACAGCCAACCAGTGGGCTAGAGTAGATGTTAGTGACTGGACAGCACATCGAAGGAGGGAATGGTATCCACTCACCAGTGAAGGAGACTTCGCGGGGAACCTTTGGTAGAGGTGCATTTATCAGCTTCTCAAAGTCAACCTCCTCATCTTCAACGTAGAACAGCGGTTGGCCAGGTCCTAGAGAGGCTTCGCCGAACTTCAACGGACGGGTGGAGTCGTAGCCGTACAATGGCTCCACGTCCAGGTTGCGCAAGGCGAGCGCGATGTCTTGAGTGGTAAGAACCGTGCGCTTACAGTGGCGCATACACTTCAGAGCTTCCTCAAGCACCTGCGCGACTCGATATTCGACGTCCCGGGCGAGATTCTCGGTCACATCGTTATTGAGGTTGAGGATACCGACGGACTCGGCGACATCGCGGATATTATCGGGGTTCCAGACAGACATGGTGGGAGGGCGTAGTATGGAATGAAGGTGTTGAGGGAAAGCTCGAGATGGATCTGAGTTTAGATAATAATGGTGCTATCGCGAAAAGTGAGGTGAAGGGCGAGGGACGAGGGAGATGAGGGTTAGAAGGCGAGTCGCATCCTGAGGCCACTGCCAGCGGATCCGCAGATTAGACAATAGCAGCCCTTCCTATTGAGTCAGTATTACGCACAAAAGATGAATGAAATGCGGCCAATCTCAATGGATAGGAGGAATAAAGTGAAGAAGGGCCGCCTGGAAGATGAAAGCATTGTCGATAAGAGTTGCGCGAATGATTTTGCAGTCACCCGTATAAGCTAGCCTACAAAGTCTACATTGAGACACTTTTGCTTCATGAAGACATCAATCTCCACTATGATTCACAGACAGATAATAATAAAATTAGATATGGCTAACCATGGGGTACTAACAATACAGTGCGTCTTGAGAGAGCACACCAATGACCTGAAACCAGGCACACAAGAGCGGGGAGTGTTATTCACTGCTCCTCCGGGTATCATAACAGACAGCACCAGCCAAATATTGATCTACTGGGCTCCATCCTTCGCAGGTTCTTCCTTCAGAGGCTCAGTCTTGGGAACCTCCACTTTGCCAGGCTCCTTAGCAGTCTCCTCCTTGGGTGCCTCCGCCTTGGGAGCTTCTTCCTTCAATGGCGCCTCCTCCTGGGGTTCCTTAGCAGCCTCTGTCTTTGCGGGTTCTTCCTTTGATGGTGTCTCCTCCTTAGGCTCAGCAACAGTAGGCTCCTCGGCAGACTTGCCCTTGCCCTTGGTCTCCTGTTCCTTGTCCTCAACCAGTGGGACGAACCTAGCATTCTCCTTCAGCTCCGGGCCCTTTCCACCATAAGCTTTGGGGATTTTTTCGACAATAGCAGGTGAGAACTCCCGAGCCAGGTTGGTGCCGTTCGTGATCGGGTGGAACTTGCGCGTGGTGTTCCGGCTCAGGATGAGCTTCATGGCGGTGAACATCCAGCCCATGATAGCAGGAACATTGACAAAGAACTTCTCACGTAGGAGCTCTGGGTATGCCGTAGCGAACACATCGATGACCTTCTTTGTTGCGGCACGGACAGATGGATCCATACGGAAGAACTTGACATTCAGGTAATCGTGCACTTGGATCATCTGGTAGGGATCCTCGCCGTCGTACTCAATGACCTCGGTAGCATCCTTCATCTTCAGGTCCTGCACAGCGAGTTCCATGAGAGCGGCGCGCCATTGGACGAATCTACATGCAGTTAGCATTGATTGCAGTTGTAAATGACTTTCCATGCTGGGTTCTTACTCATCGGTATCAGCGAAGGTCGCACTGATATCCTTCACGGCCCCGTAGATATTCCAAGTAAACACCAAGGGGCGCCCGTTCTCCTCATAGGTCGTCAGATATCCCAAACCTCCGAATTTGGCCGCGCTGTATTTCGCGGACTCTGCCAATGCGAGGGGGTTCACGTCCTTGCGCCATTGGAGCGCCTTGGTGAGCTGGGTCTCGGCGGCTTTGGCGTTGCCTTCGTTTGCGCGCAGGAACTTGATCAACACGTTGACGGTGGGGATATCGTCGCTGTCCTTGAGTGGCACTCCCCACATCTCAGTGTGACCAATGTCCCCGAGGATGGTTGGCAGACGGTTGAACAACTCGCCCAACGCCGGGTTCTTGCTCAGGTAGGCTGGCTTCTCAACCTTGGGTTCTTCAGTCTTTGCCGCTTCGGATTCTGTAGTGGCAGTGGCAGCAGTAGCATCATTTGCAGGTACTTCCTCCTTGACTGGAGCACTGGCAGGTTCATCTTTGGCGGCAGTCTGTTCGGTGTTTTCAGCGACAGTCGCGAGAGTTTCGGGCTTATCGACTGCTTCCACGGTTTCCTCACGCTTCTCGGGCACAGGCGCAATAGGCGCAACAGGCGCATTCTGATTAGCTGCGTCCGACATGATTGATGTTGAAATTGATGGTGTGTTGAGGCTAGAGGAAATAAGGGGTTTTGAATTCACAGGGGTCGCAGTTGCCTTGTCAATAATCGGGCCACCTATCGACCCCACCTGTCAGCTATATTTTGTTTCATGATCGACATGTCACATCCACCTTGAATCTATTTTTATTTTTCTAAAGATTTTATATTTTGTTCTACCTTTTCAAGCCAGAACGTGTGAATATCAATGTTGTACTTGTGTTGGGATAGAAGAAAGTAACTGCTAGGCTATGAGCTGGAAGTTTCCATACACTTCTTCCTAGCCCATCACCATGCACAGCTTACATTGTATAGACTTAAATCGCTTCAACAATTGTATATATCCATATATATTTTCTCTTAAAGTAGAGGTATTACAGTGTTCTTGCTTGCCCCTTATATCCTAGCCCCCGATTGTCCTATATATCCTATGTAAGGCTTTATCCGATTTTGATCCCACACAACACCCTATAGCATACCTCTAGTACTGATGTCGGTAAGGACTAATGCGAGACTATCGGTCTATTGCCACTTAATAGACTTTGATTTTCTAGGTTCAAACCGACTGAGAGTTGCTCGAAGTGATTATTACTTTAGTGCTACTCCGTATAGGTTCCATAAGTCTCTACCATTGCGCCAGCCGGGCTTGTTTGGATTATTGCAAGAATTGAAGGGCACTTTGTTTAGTGCTAATTTCTATAATTTCAGCCAGCACTCAGCTTCTTCGATACTTCAATGAAATAATATTTTACTGCACCATGCATCTTGATGTCTCCATAGACCTCTCCTAACAAGATCGCTTTGGAAGATGATTATACTTGAACTAAATTTCCATGTAGATCATGATACTGGTAAACCTACGGAGTACTCCGTACAAAACGGAGTGAAACCCAAGGCAGTCAGGTTCAGCTAAGCCACCCGGTCGAAAACGGACGCAGGCAGATGTGACCGAAACCTTCAACCTGCATATGCAGAAGCACATTGGCCAAGCAGGGAAGGAATTGGCGACGTGCAGATGCCAACAATGTACTCCGCTGGAAGGAGCTCGGAGTTTTAAATGAGATCAGTGTTCATTTCTACCGAAATACCAAATCCCCCAGGTAGATATTTCTGAATGTGGGAGCTTGAAATAATGGATTACAGGCTACATATCTCCTGTGAGGTCTCGACTTTTGCCAAGTAAAGTTCTATCAGGGTTAGTGTAATTCATAGTTTGTAAAGTGCGCCACGTACTTGCGGCCACCCATCTCATACCCAGACAGCCCAGTAGATCTTTCAATGGTCGGATCGACGGCTCCGGATCGACCCACCCAGATACCCTGGCATCGCCAAGACACACCATAGCGGCCTTGTATATGCAATGGGGAAGAAACACGGACAAAGTCATCATCTCAACCGGGGGAGAGATCCCCCCCCCGCGCCCAATCTCGTGGACGAGGGACTTGAGAATATTGAGTGATGTGCGGATACAATACTCATTGTCGGGGATAGTCATGTGAGATCCAACTTCGAGGGTTTCGAGCATAGCACTAGTTAGCAGCGTTAGGATTAATCACTTAGTTCTGAACTTACGCTGGGCAGAATTACCTTCTACATAGTGCCAATGCGCTATCCGATAGAGGATGCGGCGGGTTCGAATCACCGCTTTGGAAGGTCATCAGAAACGAGGTTAGGGATTTGAGAATCTGGACCGCCTCAACGCTATTAAAAAGGGGATGCGATTGGGTCGTATGGATATGAACGAGCACCCGGTCTAAGAGCTGGGATGCGTGGGCCAACCTAGTGAATGAATCCACTTCTACCTTCGCCCAATCTTCAGAGTCCTATTTTCAGAGTTATTTTCAGATGGAGTTGAGTGAGGGCTTGACAGCAGCTAGTCGGTCAGTCACTCACCCTCCTGCCCGATACCGCGGCTATAGATCGACCACTATAAGTATTGGATGCTTGGCCATTTTCCAACGAGACATATCTACCACGGGGTCTTGATTCAGTACGAATACCATTTGGTGTGCATCCTTAGGGGCCAGATCTGACCTGTCAGTGATGACGATGCCCCGCCAAGTCTGTCGTGCCTCCTCGACTTTCTGTGGGTCCCGGAAGACCTTGCGCAGGTCCTCGTAGGCAGCATTAATCCCAAGGGAGACTGCGGCGCGTATATTGGCTGCAGTGGAGATGTATGCGGAGGGATACATGGCATGACCGATCTCGAAGACCGTCAGGAGAAGTCGACCCTGCAGCATTTCCAACGAATTCGTCCCCATCGCCTCGAGAAGAGCTACAAAGCTTTTCAGAGAAGCATACATCGATCGGGTCGAAAGAGGAAGCTCTCCTCCCACAGGCCCCTTACAAACGAGGGCCATACAGAGGGTCAAGAGGCTCAAGTCGGAGGGGGCACTCCCCGTCTGGACGCGTACGTTTGATAACTGGAGATTATAACAGCTCTCCGATATGATAGGGAACCAGGTGTGTACAGTTCGGAAATAAAAGGCTGCGGCGGCTTGCAGCTGCAGTCCATCGCCCACAATTGATGAGACCTGTACTTCGAGGGTATAACGCAGGTTGGAAGGGGTCAAGTCGGCCCAATCTGGCACGGGCAGCAGACGATGGGCTTTAGCTGGAAGGAGATAGTCACAAGGCTTATTCAATCTAGATTGATCAGCATGCATCGCCTAATTCTAGGCGATTACGCACCTTTTACAAAGAGTACAGCAGGGAAGGATCTTGTCACATCTCCGTTTCTGTCTCCGGCAGCGAAGGCAGGCCTGATCGGCCGACATTGTTGCGGGTGCGGGTGCGGGTGCGGGTGCGCAGGCTAGCCACTTAAATAATCAGGTGCGGAGATAACTAACTAACTAGTTAACCACGATGTAGTTAGTTAGTGATCTGTCCGTAGCATTTCTGTATCAAGCCTAATTTGGTTTAGATCCCGCGCCTACATCCGCACCCGCATCGCTAGGGCAGGATCCATGGAAGCACGTTGATCTTTGTATATATATTACCTAGGTCCATCATATGCTGTAAAGGCAGCTCTCCCAGTGTCTCCAATAGGTTTCCTTTTCACAGCCATGGAGGCGATTCGCAACGTTGCTATTGCAGGGGTATGTCGAGTAATCATTCTCCTGTCGTAATTAGGACTTATAGATCATGTTTAGGCCTCCGGAGCCCTGGGCTCCCCTGTTCTTCACGCACTTCTCCAAAGCGAACTCTTCAATGTGACTGTTTTGGCACGCCAGTCGTCTCAAGCACACTTTCCGGCGTCTGTCAAGGTAATCTGCATGGATTACACCTCGGTCCCAGACCTGACAGCGGCTCTGACCGGCCAGGATGCCGTCGTCTCGGTCCTGACAACCAGTGCCATGGAGACACAGATCCCACTAATTGAGGCCGCAGTGAAAGCTGGAGTAAAGAGGTTCCTTCCCTCCGAGTTCTGTGCCAACATTGGCAATCCTAAGGCGGCCAGTTTGCCTGTCTACCACTCCAAGCTCGCGATACATGAGGTCCTCCAACAACAGGCTCAGAACCATCCCCATTTCACATACACCTTAATTCGGAACGGGCCTTTTCTCGACTGGAGCCTGGCTTATGGTTTCTTTTTCAGCCTCAATGGAGGATCGACTCCCTTTTACGATGGCGGGGAGCGTCCGTTCAGTACAACTACCTTGGCCACGATCGGCCGGGCTGTGGTGGAGGTCCTGCGTCACTCGGAAAAAACACGAAATAGAGCGGTATTTGTTCAAGATCTCGTCACCACCCAGCAAAAGATGCTGGCCATCGCCCAGAAGGTTACACCGGATCGCAAATGGACCCCGAGAGATGTGAGCACCGCCGACATGGAGACCATGGCGCGGGACAAACACGCCAACGGGATGAACGACCTGACAGCCTCGATGGGATTCTTTTGTCGCTCAGTCTTTGGGAAGGGGTACGGCGGAGAGTTTCAGGAGGTGGACAATAAACTACTCGGCATATCGTTGAAGACGGATGCTGATCTGGAGGAGCTGATCCGGGGAGTACTTTCCGAAGGCCACTAGCGCTCAATTCAGCCATCCGTTGACCTTAGTCGTATAATCAACCTGCTCGCTCCATAGAATCATTGTTGATCATCATTTTATCTCGACCCTTCGCTGAGTTGATTTGACTCCAGGAATCATTGTCACGTTCCCTAGCACGCTCCACTTGCCCCTGTGAGTTACTGTATTACAATGGTTCTCGGTTGGATAGAGCTCCCATCCTCATTCCCGGGATGGGGGTGAAGAGGCGCCAAGCACGAGGTAATGGAGAGGTCACGAGGAAGTATGTAAGGTATACTGGCCGGACCACGAGAAGGCAAAGTTCTCATTGCATAACCAGGCGAGGGCTTGGTACGTCGCAATGGAAACGCACAATGGCTTATTCATATCGTAGTGTTAATGGGTCCGTGCCAACCTCAAGAGACCTAACGGAATATCTTCGCTGATTTCACCGGAAACTACCCCCGATAGGTTGGGTTAAGACACCCAATGAAGTCCAATTCAATTAGGAAGATCTTCCTCCAGTCAGGCTCTGTGCGATAAATGACGATCTTGCATGGGGTTGGCAAGTTTTTGGGAGGGCCGCCGAGGAAGAAGCGCATATATTTAGCCAAAAACCAACCTTGGAAGCGAATAATGGGACATGAGTGCACTCCGTATGCACTCCGTACGCCATACTATGCCTGCAGATCTAATGTTATGATTGCGTTTCTCTCCTCCGACCAATCTGAACCCCGTCTCCGACGTGCATTGATGCCCAGTGACTCTAGCGAATAACAGTTTAATGCCAATCATGAGCTGGGCCATTCTTAAATTACTGATGTTGGTAGTATTATAAAGACCATAGGGTTGTCTAACTAGTAGCACAAGAGGCATACTTATTTTCGCCTTTATATCCATGTAGGACAAGCCCGGGGACGATCTCCAGAATTTCAGAGCTTATTTAGACGAACGAGTAAGACGATGTTATTCTGTGGTGATGGTACATATGAAATCCAGTAACGTAAATCATGTCTTCATTTCCCAGGAATCAAAGGGCCGCAAGGGGATAGATAGACCTCAGTCTGGAGGGAAGAGATCATTTGCTAAGTGGAAACCCAGACTACGAGATGAGCAAGAATAAAAATCCCGGTAAAGAGGGATTGCTAGCACTGGGGGGAATATACACAGAAGAAGAGAACACAGAAATTAAAAACGGGAGAGACTGGCGCGAGGGCGACCTGAAATCAACTAGGGCCACCGTAGGTGTAAACTAGACCCAAAGAAACGAAAGCACAGGAAAAGACCAGGAAACCAGCCTATCTCTATAGTCCGTCATTGCGGAACCGTTCAGGCATTGGAGGCATAGGCGGCGGGACACCAGGCTCCGATTCATCATTGTCTTCCATTTCCTCATCCAAATCCTCGGGATGGCTAGATATTGATGTTAGCTTAAAAATCAAAGTATTTGGCTGGACCGAGATCAACATACGCAAGTAACTCCTTGATATTCCTCATCTCGTAGTGCCTCTTACGCTGCTGCTCGAAATGAGCGTGCTTCGCGCGGGCCTCTTCAGTCGTCAACAGCGGATCATGATCAGGCGCATCGCCACCATTTGCATCCTCCACACCGACATGAACGTGCTTCTCGCTCTTGTGGGAGTCCATGCTCATACTACGGTCACGGAAAACACGAGGGTCGTTCATAGCAACGTCCTGCATGTTTTCCTCGGGCTCACCGAGCTCCAGGTCAGGGATGTCATCCTCTGACACACCCTTCCGGTGTTGGGTGGGTTTGGTCGACTTGTCCAGCTCATCGACAACAATGCCCTGCGCATCGATTAGAGTTTGCTGTGCCGCCTCGTCGAGCCGCATCTGCTCATCGTCTTCGCTGGGGTCGTAGTGGGGAGCGTAAGGAGTCTTGGGTTCGTCAATCTTCATCTTCGCCGTCTTCTCCTGCTCAGTCAGGTACAGGTTTGCTTCGTCCCACTTTAGACGGGGCTCGTTTTCGTCATGGGCGCTGATTGTCGACTGTCGGCGCGAGCTAGAGCCTCGGCGGGCGGTGGATGAGGATCTTCGACGGCCTGCGTTCTGCAGGGTGTTTTGGAGGGTGATTTCCTTCGTCTCCTCTGGCTCGGGGATGGTTGGGACAGAGGGTGGGGAGATGGGTGCCATCGGAGCGGAGGTGCCTTGGAAGGAGTTGGAGTTCTTGAGGATACCTGTTTCGTTGCGAGAATGCACTAGTTAGATACCACCGTTGTTTTGGTGACCATTTGGTGCTGACGTAGTTTGGACTCACCTTTTGGCCGATGATGCACATCATCGGAGCTGTGTGCCTTGGCCGGCATGTGTGGTGCGCTAGTCATAGTGGGATGGTAGTTAGGAAAGACCGGGTGTCGCTCGATTTGCAAGTGGACGATGTAATAAGAAGACTGATTTCCAAGGGTGGGGAATCAGCGAAATCTAAAGGGTGCCTGTTTTATTTTGATTATATCACAGGCCTCAAAAGTTCAGCTGCAATCCGTGCGGACAAAAAAAGAGGCTGAGCACCGCCTGATGTGGTAGGGCGGGGAAAAACGGATAAATCAAAACGAACCTGACTCAGATAAATAGGAGTCAGCTCACAGTCACGAGTTGAAGCAAAGAAAAGAAGAATATGTATAAGGTCAAGTGGTGGGGTGCTCGATGACGTCGGCCCGATCATCTACCCGACCAGCTTAGCTAACGTTTATCAGATGCCCTGGTGGAACCCGTCGTCACATTACAAGGGAGTAACTAGAAGCTTCTACCTGATGCTATATGCTATATGACATGAACATGAGTTGCACTATCACGGTTGTCCCGAACAATACATAGAACTCTAGTGTGGAGGGATAGGAACATTACATGTAAATATGCACAAGAAATATATCATTAAACTGAGATCAAGACAGCAAACCGCCCAGTCTTTCAAAGTATTCAAGAACGCCAGTCATGTTCCAGAGTCAAGCCCAGACAGAATTCGAGGCAAGAGTCCCGAAGCCCACGAATGTCCACGAATGCCTTAAAAAACACCCAACTTGATCGCCCGAACGGGGGTATATGGATATATATGCAACGACGTAATAATCACGATGTAGAGGATAAGGAAGGAAGAGAAAGTCGAAATGAAAGAAGAAAAGGAAAAAGATCGAGCCAGCGAGGAAAAGAATGATAAAAGAAAAAACACAGCAATACCAGAAAACCAGACAGGCCAAGAAGTCTTTATCATGCGATGGAGTCAAACTCCTCCCGCTCACGAAGTCGGTTCCGAGCAAGAGTATCACCACCGCTGGCCGACAGCTGCATCCAGTGCAGCGCCAGGCACATACTCTGCGGGTCCGATTTAGAGTCTTTGTCTCGTCGATACATCATCTCCGCCTTAAAGGTATCCCGCGGGAGGGTCAGAGGGAGGGTCACGCGTGGAAGGAGCTCTGGGTGAGTCAAATAAAGGATGGCAAGTTCGCGCTGTGCGACCGGGTTGCCCTCTTTAGCAGTGATAATCCACATTCTCGCTGCATCTTGGATAGCATGGCCGGGGCGGCATTGGAAGTCCGAGCCGAAGGGGGGATGGCGACGGGAGAGCTCCTGGAAGACGATTCGGTCGGCGATCTCGACCATGCTGTGGCAGATCTCTTCTTTGAGGCTTAATGCAGCCA